GGGGGGGGGGGGGGGGGGGGGGGGGGGGGGGGGGGGGGGGGGGGGGGGGGGGGGGATCGACTGGGCAACGCTGCACCATATACGCTCAGCACAGGTAGATTGTCGGACTCTAAAGGTGGGTGGCGCACCCCAACTGCTGGAACACCAGTCCCTTCTCCTGGAAGAAACTGTCGATAATGGCCTTCAACAGGGCACAAGGTATATTGAGTCTGTCAAGGGGCTTCCAACTATTTGGCGACAATCCGCACTCTCCGAGCCCAAGGCCCAGGAGTCTTCCTGGTGGATCTGGTAAGACTCATCATCGGCCAAATCGACATCTTCGCCTTGCGAAGTTTCATCCGCGTTGCGAAGTTGGGGCCAGCAGTTTCCGTCCACTTGCAGAGCTCTTCCAACACTCAACTGCGCAGACGTATGCAGTCCATGTGGCCTGGCCCGTTTCAACAGCTCTATGACTCTATGACAATTCATTCGCTAATGTCCGAATTTGCCAAACCCCAGCAATCCACCAAGAGTCTGTCATGGCCCTGCGCATGGCTAAGGAAGGTTCTGTCAAGTTTTTGTTCTAGTTCGGCCGCACAGACACTGTGGACATGCTGAGGGGATCTACCGGGCAGCACTTGTCGTGCTTCGCTATGCTGCCCTGATGTTTACCGTGTGCGACATGCTGTGGAACATTGCGCACGCAGAGCATCCAATCGAAGATGCAGATGGCATCTGGCAAGACTTCCCTGCTTCACAGGGAAGTCAATCTATCATCTGATGCCTGCCTGACTGGCAACTTGGCTTATGGACGCATCTTGATCGAAAGTCAGACATGATGGTCATTTTTCGTTGAGGGTACCATAAGCACCTGTGCCGTTGCAAAACTTGAATTATAGCATGCAAGCCACTGACGGTATCCTTAGGAAACCCTGAGTCAGGACAGCCGGCTCAATTCGCTCAGTTATCCATTCGGCAGGAGTCCAAGCAAAGGTGCGAATAAGCAGGGTTGAGGTCGGGGAAAGTTCGGCAAGCTGGGGCTGGATTGGCTATGCAAGCAACTGCAGACTTCTGCACACTGAGAAGGTCTTCTTGCACTTGCACTTGCGTCAAAGCGATGCATCCGTTTTGAACACCTCAGTGCTCACCCATTCGATCTCTCGATCTCTCGCTCTCTCGCTCTCTTCCTATTTGACTTTCGTGAGGCTGAGGGCCTAAGGCCTGAAGGCCCCGCGCTGGGCACGCCTCTGTTTGAGGAAAAAAGGCCTACCATCGAGAACCCTAAACCCAACCCTTAGGCTCGCTTTTCGAGCTTGAAGGTCAGGCCGGCCCGCAGTTGCTCTGGGTCTTTGTGGCGTGTCCCGGCTCTCCCCGCTTTGCTGGTTTTCCCCCCCAAAAAGTGTTCAGTTGGTTTAAGTTGCTATGCTCCATCTATCCATTCCCGCCTCCAGGCCTACTGCGTCTGCTGGGCGTCTCCACTTTCAAGGGGATGCGCTCGCCACGTCGGTCGGAGTTCGAGCATCCCCTACTGTTGGTGGATCGCTCGTTGCAGTGCCTCAACGCGCTCTATGCACGTGTGAGATGCTTCAAAAATGCTGTGTTTGCCATCCCGCGTGCGTCTTGTCGCAGGACGCTGTCCGTCCGAACATAGGCCTAGGCCTAAGCATCCCGGCAATGTGCTCTGCGAGGCCAGCCGAGTGCCCCGCCACACAAACCGGGCAAGAAATTCGGATTGCCCGTTCCTCGCTCGCTGTCCCTTCCTAAGTTCGTCTTGGCCCCTTCACCATGACACCGGAACGTCCAGGAGGACCGACTGCCCCCCGACGAGACCCGGCCACGACGGCCGGAAGCCACTTGTGTGTCTCGTGCATGTATCTCACCCTAAACGGTAATTAACAGGTTTATTACACCATGCCCTTATGCCCCTTATGCCCCCTATGCCCCCCCCCTCTCTCTCTTTCCCTCCCTTCCCCTCCCTCCCTCATGCTGTAGACAGGCTGTATATTATTTCATGTCGGTCGCCACGACAAGCACATACAAAGAGGCTAGCGTCACACTCTCTGGCAATGGCCGGACACCTTTGCTCTTGGGTTACATCCTGCAACAGCACCCGTCTGCTCGAGACAAGCCACTGGTGAGGTCTGACATCGCATCGGCGGAAGAGTTCTTTCACCCTGTGATTGCGCAGACTTCACAGAGTAGGTTCTGACCACATCACGCTGTGAAAGCCGGACCTAATTACAAAATAAAGCGCGTCATAGAAGTTCAATGGGTAACAAAGTCAAAATTAACAAGTCGTCCTGCATCACTGCAGACTCCGAAGCCCATCCGGAGCCGATGGTCGTGTTTAGATAAGCGTTGCCACTGCCTCGATGTGCAGTGCGCATGTAGCGCACCCACTCCGAGAAATCTTTCGCTGGGCGAACGGAAACGGACCAAGGAGGTTGGGGGAGGGGGGGGCTCAGCCCATGGCCTTTCGTCTTGTTTGTGAGCGACAGAAGGAACCGAATTGAAGGCCTCAACCAGATGGGATGGTCTGCCCTCACTCGGGTGCCCTAGGGTGCCTTGCGCACAGATAACCTTTAAGCCCCAGGCCCAACAGATGCATCGCCGAAACCCAGTGAGGGAGTAAAGTGAGCCTTGGACCTCACGAGCTCCACGAGCTCCGCGAGCTCCACGAGCTCCAATATGCACACAGCGGCATCGTGCCCAGCTGTCTGGGACCCGGACGAGAAGGTGGGCGAAGCAAAATTGAACTCTGACGTATCCTCAGCTGTCGAACCTGGCCTTTACACTTGCAGAACCCGAAGGCATGAAGATACGTGAAGCCGGGCACCGGCACACCCATCTATCATGTCTCCAAGGTGCAATCGTCGTCGTGCCACTACGCTTTGCTGGACCTTGGCTTGCAAAACTGTAATAACAAGGCAACACGGAACGGCACGCTGCGATTCTCCAAAACTGCAGAACCAACAGCCAAGCAGCTCTTGCGCCGGATGCGGCGGGCGATAGCCAACTTCTCCGTGGGCTGCGATCGCATCGCACCATCCACTAGCATCTGGCGAATGGTCTCCAGCTTGCGACAGGCCCTGTCGCCGAACAGGATCTTCGGTTGTGTTCTTTACACAAACTTGCACAAAGCCCTGTTCTATCTGATAGGCTGTGCGCACTCATGAGTGCACACTGGACCCCGACCTCTGGACAGAAGGAGAGACCAACGTGTTGTTCAGGCTGATCTTGGCCCCTGAGAGAATCCAAAGCGTGAGCATTGTCAAGGAAAACCCAGCCCTCGCACGAGCCCGCGAAGCCACAAGATCAGCCGCCTTGAAGTGCTGATGGCAGCCGCTGCAACAATAGCATCGCGGCCGTATCGTCGACCAGTGTATCGGAGAGATCCACACGCAGGACCTGGCACCCACATTCACGCCCTCCTTCTCCGGCGCGCTCATTCTTGGGCTGTGGCCTTGAGCATCCGAGGCAGTTTATGGGCCAGCCACTTCACCGCATCATTGTTGATGCGGTCGCCTGAGGAGCTTTGCACAACGTGGATTAACACCACCATCACTCTGAGGTCAACAGAGGTCTCATGCATGCGAGGAACAGCTGCTGAAGTTGAGGGACAACATGGACATCTCTGGAGGAAATCCCAGGACCTTAGCGCACACACTGCGCATGTAGTCGTCAAACACACACACACACACACACACACACAGACACACACACAGACACACACACACACACACACACACACACACACACACACACCTCCTTCGCCCCTACAAGTAGGTGTGGTCTACATGGGCCTTACGGAGGGTGCTCGCCGAAGCTTCAACACACCACCGTACTGCATGCGTGCGTATCTGGCTGGCAAGTAGAGTGGGTTTGCTCATGGCTTGTGCTTGGCCGGCAAAACGAATTCGGACTCGGGGCCATGATTTGTTGCGGAGCATTGATTCTCGGGGCTGATGGGTGCAGAAAGCAGGCGAGTGCCTTGGGCTGGGACATCACCACCTTCTGGTGGACCATGTGTACTACCGATGACAGGGTGGGCTGGACCCTCATGCCCACGGAATCACAACTTAGGCCGCCGCTAGGGAGTGAACTCCAAGTGTGGTGAAGTAGGGACATCCCCTGCAAAGCAAGACAAACGCGCAGGCGGGTGAAAAAGTATTGCCTTCCTGGCCCCACTAGCAAATACCGAAAACTGTATCGTATCACATGTGTAATTATGTGTATACGTACATACATATATATATAAATGGATATTCGCCTCAGCTTTTGGCCGAGAGGCATCTAGAAGAAGCAGACAAGGCTCTGGTCTCCTTCCAGCCCTTCCCAACCCTTCACCTCCCCTGTTGTGGGACCTGCCCGAAGAGCTTGGAGGAGCCGCAATCCGATGCTGCAGGGCCCCCTCCCATGCGACCCCCCTGACCCCCTGAAGCCCTCCTACCTTCGGAGTTGGACCCAGCACCTCCTTCGCCGCAAGTAATCGCATCCGAGGAAACCTGCCTGCGCCAGTGTGTCCCATCCGGGCCGAGGCGGCGCGCGCAAGCGTTTACAATGAATGTTGGGTATGCGCTAGCCCCCCCTCTGTTCTCCACCGATGACGACCCCAGCATACAGCGCAAGCCCGCCTCAAGGCGAGATGTAAGTTGATCAGCCGTGGAGGGAGACACTCGGAAATTGCACTCACCTGTCGATCGTCGATGTTGTCGATGCCTGAACTGAGAAGTCTGACCATGAAACTGTTGGAATCAGGTGGTTTCACTGTTGTGGGCTGCCGGCCTCCAAAATCAAGCCCGAGAACTCGCAGATTCTTCAGGCTGGCAATACCCTTTGCCAAGACGAAGACGCTGCGGATGTGAGTACGTTCGAAGTTCCTTGACTGAGGCAGCTCGCCTAGTGGGTGCGGTCTAGCACCTGCAGCCTCATGCCAAGCCTTATGCAAGCTTATGCAGCCTTGTGGCAGGTTTAAAGAAACGATGGTCGCTGGTAGGCATAAGCCGAGGGCGTCGATGCCTGCACGGGTTATCTTGTGCCAAAACTAGGATATCTCATGGAGCTCTCTGGTTCTTGCAAGTCTCCGCCTGTCTGACCAATCTTTGAACACAGCTGAAAGTCCAAGGTCAGCGTCTCCAGTTGCTTCAGCTGGGGAAGAGTCTTGCAAAAAGCGCGAAGGCCGGGAGAACCGATCGCAGTGCACATCCTCGCTTTGAGCTCGGCTCTCTCCACACATGCAATACATGCAGACTTCGAGCACTGGGGACTACTTGCAACTTCTGCTAGGAGCGTAGGAGCGCTCGAGGCTCAGCACAAGCCAACGACCGGGACACAAAATGGACGGAATGCAAAGTGGCAAAGTGAACATCATAAAGAAGAATTGGCGTGATAAGTCTCCAGAAGGAAAGCTCCAAGTGCCGGAGGTGACCCGGCAACGCCGCCGCCAGGATGGCCAAGTGGCGATCTTCAAACCTGAAACAGCCACAACACCGAAGCAGCACGCCTGATGCCAGAACCTTGGTGCAAACAGGCCAAGTGGCCCCGCTCCGTGCGCGAAGTTCTTCATGAGGGAGGTGCGGGCCTCATCCCCAATCAAGGCGCGTGCCAAGCGTTTGGTGTCCATTTGGCTCTGCACCGCCTCTCAAGGGGGTGCCGGGGGAGGAGGGGTGCTGTAGCCTCTACGAAAACATCGCAGTGTCGCACATTTGTCACATGCTATCCACTATGTTGCAGACTTTCCCAAGCACTTGCTGGCACCTGCTAATCAACCACCAGGCGGCAGTCAAATCGCAACGTAATCTGAAACGGGGGTGCCTAGCTCCTGACTTAGAGGTGTGAAATAGAGCAGCTGTGAACAGCACGTTGAAAGAGTGTTGGAAGAGTGTTAGAAGAGTGTTCGAGAAGCAGCGACCGGTCACCTGAAACCACACCGCCAACGCCACTTCGGACCGAAGTCTGGCGTTGAACTTGCGGAACTCCTCCTGGCGCGCGCACCGTTTTCTCCATTGCAGACTCGAACAATGTCCGACAATCTCTTACACTGCACTGCCCCCTGCCCCAACCGGCCCAGAGGGCGCCCAGGGCTCAATCTTATCCTCGAATCCCCCATGGCCCATGCCTGGAAGTGTCGAGCGTCACCCAGCTGCAACACATAGTCAGGCCGATGGCCTGGTGAGGCACACTGGAGAGAAGTGTGTTAACCGATGTTAACTCTCATATGCGCATCCCCAAACTGTCTGCAGCCTGCAATGCACTTCAGGATTCTTTCATGGTCCGCCTCACAGCAAGAACAGTCAGCGCAGAAACAAGCCGGACAAGACAACGGCAGAACAGTGCACGATGATGTCTGCAGACTGCAGAGGTATGTAGTCTGAGGCATTATGAGGCGTTTCTCAACGCATGGCGACCTTGGACGAGGTCTGAGCCGTTTGGATGTCAAGCTGGAGGCCAGATGCCAGCACCTTTCAAGCTCACAGCATCTCACAGCTCAAGAGGCCGACACAGCTGGTGACCGGTATTGTGCCAAGCGCATCATGCTCAAACTGTATACTTCGTCTTTCTTCTAAGGGTTGTCCCCACTTGAAACAATGAGATGCGCAAGCCTGGCTTTGGGGCTCGGGCTACTGAGGAATGCTGAGGAATGCTGAGGAATACTGGGGGCTTGCCGGACTCGCATTGCGGGCCGCATCTGGCGACCGCTAAGCGCCTCAATCGGAAAGGTCGTCTCGCGTAGCTGCATGCTCCTGGCTGTGGATCGCGGCGTCTTCTTCTCCATTTGGCCAACCTGGAGCTTCAATTCACGGAGACAAAAACGCAGTTTCAGCAACCGCTATCTCCGTGATCTGTCCCTCTGGCCTATTTATTTTCGTGAAGCATGACTCTGGATTTCGGCAGGCCTGGTCGAGGATGCTTTCAACCAGTACCTGTGGGCCGTCCACCGTGACGGCCGCATAGTCAATCACCTTCTTTAACTCCATCGCCCTGCCTACCTGCCAAGACTTCAAGAACGGCTCAGGGTGTCGCATATGTCGCATCGCCTTCTCCACAAACCCCAATCCGACTCAATCTCTCAAGACTCTGCCTCCAAAAGGCACCAGGCCCGAGAAAAGAAGGGACCTGGACCGCACAATTCCTCGGAAGGGTTGGGGTGACAACGGGATGCGGGTTGCGCGGACAAGGACATCCACCTGTCAGACTTCTTCTGTTGGCCATTGCTGGAAAGGCTCCATGTCCGAACCGAGCATAAGCAGGACGTGGTCAGACCGTGTCAAAGCTCCGAGGAAGCCTAAGTGAGGAGTAATGGCCAAGTGCACATGCAAACGGATCTACCCGACCCCCTACAACACTCGCATGGAGCACGCTGCAACCCAGGCGAGCCGCTACATTGGGCATCCACGGTGAGCCGCTGCTGCAATGAATGCTGCCTGCAACAGGATGCAACCAGTGGAGTCACAACACGCGGCCCATGGAGGAGAATGCTCACAAACCCTGGCCTTTCTGCAAAGGCACAGATCCACATGAAGGAGTCCTCCACGCTGCGGCCACTACAAACTGACGAATGCGGTCGTAGTTGCAACTGTGCGGACTTTGTCGAAGCGGTGGCACATGACTTACTGCACAACATCTTGACTCTACCTGTAAGATGCTGCAAGCATGGGCGGTACAGGCTTTAGTATGGCGAAAGCGCCACAAAAAACTGCCCCAGAAGCCTCAGGAGTGCTTACAACGTCTTGTTGAGTTCAAGATGACCTTAAATAACCTCAAATTGCAGTTGGTCCAGCAGTCCGGCACTGGTGGTCCTCTCTGAGCTCCTTGGTGCTCCGATAGCACCCAAGGCAGTCCATGAAGTCGCGGAGGAGCTCGCCCCACCAGTGGCCTCAACTGACAAGGTTCGAATGCTCGAAGTTCCTGGAGGTAGTCGCCCTTTGTAGAATGGCAGCATCTGAGTAGCACACTTATGAAAAGCAGCGGGCTTTGTGGCTTATCACTCACGAGCTCCACAGCAGAGCAATCCTCCTCCTTGACGGAAGAACTGGGGCTCTCGCGATTCATGCATGTTCATGCTGCGCACGCATCTGTAGGCATCTACATGGTCCTCGCTCGCGGGTAGTATGAGGAACTCGTTCAAGTGAAGAAAGTTCCTTACATGTCCGCATACAGTGCAGAAACTCGGCTATGGCGCATCTTTACTCGCCAGAACCTGCTGGTTCTTACCGTGCGTCAGCGTGCTGGCGCCAAGCTTTGGCTGGTCACCCAACGACCACATGTTGCAGTTGCACGCAGCAAAGGCCACAAACCTGGACCATGGAAGAAACATGCGGCACATTGCAGCGCTGCGTCAGACATGTAGGTATCCAGCCTCCGCAATTGTTCCATGCTGATGGCTCGGCACTCCACTCCATCTATATAACCACAGAAAGGAAACGCCTTGCGCACGCTTGCCTGGCACAGAGAAGCGAAGGCGTGGGTTCTGGGCGGACTCTCAAAAGCCCACATAGATGCAACTCTCGTGCGAGTCTGACTGAAGCTTGTTCCAGATCTCCAGCTTGGGTTTAGAGTTTATCGAACCTGCCTTCTGGTTCTCGGGTGGCCCAGAGCGATCAGTGACTGAATGCGGAGAGCTCGGCTGGGCTTGATCCATTCTTGTCATCACTTGCCATGCGCTTGGGGAAAAAACGGAGGGGGGGGGGGGCAGGGTGGATGAAGCCGGGTCGCAAGTTGTGACGATAGCAGCAGGCTGGACAGTCCTATGAGTTGTAACGTAACAAGGAATACAATTGCAAAACGTCATCCAGCACCTCAATGGCTGTTAAGTTGCCGTGTACTTGAGCCGTCATGAGCTTCGTTGGGTTTCAGACTTCGACTGCAGACAAAAAACAATCTTGACGTGAAATGGCCTGAGCCTTAAGTGGCGTACCTTCATCCACTGTAGGAAGCTGATCCATGACGTGGCTGAAGGCTGTGCTACCTGATGTCATGTGATGATGCAAAAATGCCCACATCCTTTCTTAACTGACCTGCATGCATGGTGTGCCCCCTGAGGCGGCTGCCAACTCTTCTCCATCATCCCGAACGGCTGATGGCAGGGCACGGAGAGGGCCCAAACACCCATGGTGAAATGTACGGTTAACTAGCTACTTGTACTTGACTCGAAAACTGAAGTGCCTCCAGCCCGGGCAATATGCTGCTGCAGAAACAGACTCGGCACGTAAGACGACGCACCAATCTCGCGATCGCTTGACGTACACACATAGAACGAAGATACCTCAATCTTAAAAATCGATTCCTTTCCTTGCTGCGTCACCTTGTCGTGTGTTAAAGCTGCCTTGAGCACAACACATGTCACACCAACACAAGCAGTGAAGAGGCTGCGGAATTCGACACTCAAGGCTTAGCCTGAAGTTATGCATCGCCTTGTGCACAGCCTGGCAACCTCTAGATAAACCGGGCTTTAAAAACCGAAAATCGCAGCATCACGCCGTCAGGGCACATGTCTAAGAATCAACGGCACATGTCCGAAAGTTGATACTGAAGGGACTCAGGGGTTTCATCGTTGTGCCGAACAGACTGACGAATCTTGCTGGCTGAAGCAGCACGGGTTAACTACATTTATCATTGGGAGGAACATCGACACCCGATTTGCGGCAAGAGATCTACAAATCTCCTCAAAAACTCAAAAGCCCAACCGGAAAGTGCTCAACAGCGTTAATGCTTTTCGCCCCAGCTTGCATGGACTTTCCACTCAGAAAACGCGGCGACGCTTCGTTTCGCGCTGTGGCCACACTGCCTTCGAGTGACGACATGAGGCGGGCATATGTTTCAAACTCGCACTGTACCAGATTGCATGCGTTGGGTGATGAGCTTCGGCTTCTACTTGGATAAACTGCTGTCGGGCCTGCAGCTCGAATGACACTAAAGGCTCTGTGATGTTGCCTCCGTCGTACCTTGACACACAACAGTCGCAATGAAAGCCATGCAATAGGATGCACAATCATGTACAAGCACACGGCTGACAGTCTCCCCACCGGCCTTGAGCGGATCTCGCTGCAAGTCTCGGCAAATCGCAGACATCGCCTTGGAGTCACAAAGCCGGCTACACCTCGTTACACAACTAGCTTTCAATACGGTGTTTACGGACACCAATTCGAACATGTGGATCCATATCTTGCACATCCTGCTGTTACGTCTCGCGCTATACTGAACATTCAGTCAGGCGAAAGGGATGTAAAGAATGCATGCCAAGTTCGAAACGAGCGTTGGGTTTTTATATCTGAATTGTAATCTCGCTGGGCAAAGTTTTCCGTTTGGGTTCAAGGGTAACTTTTCATATGCGCTTTCGGCCTCAACAACTGGACCTCTCTCCGCTTACCGAATCGCTGTCCGCACCGGATTGCATCAAGGTTGGAACTAAGACGTACTGAGCTTAGTTCAACTCAACGCCATCGACAACATTGCTGATGCAAGCAAAAGCCGTGGAGACCACACTAAGGCCAAAACATGCGTAATGGGGAAATGTCCAACAGAATGGCCTCCAGCGCTTTTTCCCGCAATCAAGAATGTGGCGCTGACAGAACGGAATGTGAGAGCCAGCGGCACAGTAAGCGCGTTGCTGTGGAAAGGATCTGTTCGAACGTCTGTGCGGTCAGCCTCCGCACACATTTCATCCACTTGGGAGGCAACAAATTGCGACCGTCAACTCTGGAGTTTCTTATTCGGACGTAACATGGGCAAGCTAGGCGCTCCGGCCTGATGAACCACCAAGCTTCTGTGAAGCAAAAACTCTGTATATCAGCTAGAATCTAGAGGCCTCTAACATATTCAACAACAGGTCTGCCAAGTTCCACGCGCCTTTCCCACGTTGCCTCCATCAGCCACCGCACCATGTACCTCACGCAGGGATCGCAGGGTCAAAAAAGTACGCAAGTTCTTGCGCACCAACAGAACCAAAACTGAAACCCCTGCACCAAAAACACGAATCCGCACCAACTGGCACAGCATCAATCGTGTGGAAGACACTCGAGGCCCGAAAGACACATACTATATATAGGACCCTGTTGAAATTTAATTCCAATCGAATTTTTGGCCCAAAGGCTGGGAAGCAGTTAGTTCCACCAGCTTTGTCCTTGTTAACAGTGCCATGTCCAGTGCCGCCAGTAGTGCTGCTGGCCCTCACTGTGTGCCTGTGACAGTGACAGGGTCCGCACACCACAGTGTTTTATGAAAGTTTAGTTCATAGACATTCTTATTATGTGTGCGAAGTGTCCAATCCAATGAAAACTTGCGCAACCCGTTCCAGTAACTAGCTCAGGCCACACGAGGAGAAAGAAGTTGTATATTTACAGTTGTAGGTTGTAATGTTGCACCAGAAGTAACAGTATCCCTGTTAACGGGGAACTCAAGGTAGCTAGCCTATCGTTCCAAGCCACTCCCGACGTTAACTATCGGAAGGATCCCCAGAGTTGCTATCTCCAGGGGGTGGTAACCTATCGCTCTAGATGTATCCACTAGCCGTCCGGCTGCGTGTTGTACACCTATCCCGATATTCACCTGAACAGCCACCTGCCCTCAGTATCCTCCGGCCTCCGGCTATGAGTTGTAAAGAGAACAGATAACTATCCCGAGGTTAGGGAAAAGGATCTATTCCTCGTCAACGCCCGACCCTTTTGGCTCCTCTTTCCTCCGGATGCGAGTTGGCCAATCAAGTCCACGACGTACAGGAATACTATCCACGGGGGCGAAAACTGTACAGATTCGGCTGCTACAATACTAGAAGGGCCCTTCTTGAGCAGCTCACAGCTGCGACCGGACATGAAGTCCAACATCTATTCCTGCTCGTCCACGATGAGGTCGATGTCTATCCCAGGCCCAAACCCAAAAATTACATGTACATCTAAACAGCACCCCATGGAATCAACCTGACCTCTTTGTGCTAAACACCCCCCGTTTTCGGGACGCACTCAGCGGTCAGAAAATCGATGAATTCGCGACTTCTATCCCGGTTAGCTTCAGGCAAAACAAGAACACAGGAGGCATAGCCGATCTGATCGCCAGCCCCTTTAGGGCGCCCACCACCACCCGCGATTACGGCGATCACTCCAGCTATCCTCGGAAGCAACACCTCCATCCGCTAACCTCGACATTCATCGCAGTAGCACAAACCACCAGTCCGTGGCTCTTGGCTACACTTCGTGCCCTCACGTCTATTCCACGTAGTAAAATTGTCTATCCGTCGCATTCTTGGAAAATCAAGCGTCGCTTCTATCCATTTCATCACCCGACTCAGTTCATCTTCTCCATAGCTATCCTGGATAAGGCCTCACTTTTGATCAGTACTCCTCGATGTCAATGTAGTTCCCACGCTTCTATCCCTTCATTCTTGTATGTGATCTTCTCCGTGGGGACTCACTGGTGGTTAGCCATGCCCATTCTGATCTTTTCTCCTCTCCCCAGCTTCATCTTTTGATCTTTTCACGTGAAGGTCTTATTGGTGGCGAGCCATGCCTTCCCAGGAGCTTCCGCCGCAGGGTCTTATTGGTGGCTAGCCAAGCCCCGCACCAGAGTCTCACGATAGCCGTTCGTCCACTCATCTCATCATGCGCCATCCATCCGCTCTATCCCCCCGCGTGCGCCACCAGCCATGGCCCGGGCACATGACTTTGCATGTCCCATTCTATCCCTCACGCCGAGCCATTGGTGACTAGGCAGCTTTGTGCTTTCATCCTATCCCCGCTTGTCGCCATTTCATCAGGCTTCATCTCTTTGGCGATCACGTCGCGGTTTCCACATCAGCGGCCTTCCACGCTTTCCCTTTCCTTTCACAGGATCACCCGCAGATGCATCACTTGCATCGTCACCCGTCTCAACGCCCATGTTTGCCCGGTTGGTTGATGTCGTCTCAGTGCCTCTGAACTCCGGGTTGAGCGCTTCGCTCATCGCTGACTCGTCTTCTGTTTCGGGACCAGTGACGTGGCCACCTCTTTGTGCCCGAGTTCTCTCTAGCAAAGAGCTCTTTCCTCTTCCTCTATCCGCCATCTTCGTCCCTTCCGCAAACCTGGGTACAGCTGGCATCCATCCGTATCTGCCTCCTCGATCATCGGCTCTATCCCTATCCCGCCCTTTTCCCCATCCGCGTGATGAGCTTCTCACCGAACTATCATCACTCATGGCGTACTTCGGCCACCTGATGATATCCCTCCTCTCCCTATCCAGAGGTGATCGGGTCCTCGCTTTGGGCTCAGCACCATCGGCTCTCGCCCCACCTCTCTCTTTCAGTTGGATTGGACTCGAACTTTCTGCCCTGGTCAGTGGCTCTTGTCTCTTCCCCGTCTCGTCCTTAAGCTCCACATCGACGGTTCTCGTACCTTTCGATTCTATCCTTCTTGGCCACCCCTTCTCGTTCAGCTCCACTAGGCTTACCCCGGCAATTGGATATGCCGTGCCCGCATTAGCCGCACGCGCCTCCGGCTGCGCCTCGTCACGAGAATGTCCGGCTACTCCCATCGAAGCCCAGTTCATCATCATTCCTCCCATTGGTACTGAGCACCAGTATACCTCACTCACCGGCCCTGTCTCCGATCTCTCCCTTCGTAGCCCTAGGTTCCGAATAGCAGATCCAGCAGCATGGCTATATCCATGAAGTTTGTTCTTCTTCCCCTTAATCTCTCCCCATGTCGCGTTGAATGGTATCCCTTCGGTGTCAAACTTCATGTGCTTCGCCATGGGTTGAGTGGGATCTCGCTTTGTTTCTGCAACTATCCTCTCCATGATCTCCAGACAACTATTCGCAGTCTGCACCATCATGTCCCTCGTGCTTTTCGCCCAAGCGTTGTTCCCCCATAACGGCGAGTTAAAACCTGCGGCCATAGCTATCAGCAGCTGATAACTCATAAACTGTCCTCCTCTCCTCAGACACCCTGCATGCATGGAGAAGAACCTCTGCCTCGCTGTCACTACAGCGCGTGCCGCAACCGTCTCAAGGGCTTGCTGGAAATCTGACGCATCCACAATTCCCGAGTGATCTGTGCCACTCTGATTGTACTCGAAGTTCAGAATCTTCCCGAACGATGTGGCCAGCTCTCTATCCAACATCATCGCATGAATCGCCGCCTCTTCCATAGCGAACCTGTATACCCCCGGTCGTGACGCTGCTATCTCGTACTCAGGCCACAATCCAGCCCTAAAACCTAAGTACCAGTCTTCTGCGGGGTTCAAGCTCGCCAGTATCCCTGCCACCACGTCTCGTTCTATCATGTCTATCCTTTCGGCCACCATTCTGAACGGGATTTTAATCCCTGCGCGGTCGAGGGCTTCCTGTAGCTTGGTCTTCCACTTCGTCTTTCTTCCCATAGTCGCGTTTCTATCCGTGATTTCCCACAAATTCATCCCCATCAGGTAGTCCGGGTAGGATGGCATAGGCTTGCAACACATCGGGCAGATCACTATCCCTTTCGCCATTCTACAGTGGCATGCCAGGCAATGCACGCACTCCTCCGTCATTTCCGACATTATCCATCTCACTCTATCCCGGTATTCATCTGTCCCCAATGTCTTTGATAGTCTATCCCTGTTCACTTGTGAGTCCCCTCTTTCATCGGCTAACATGTCCAGCTCGCAATCACGCATGTACAGAGCCGTGTATGTGTCCTCGAACCAAACTGCTTTCCAACATGCCATTGGTACGGGCCCGAGGAGCATGAAGCGCCCACTTCTTGTTACCACCACGTCGCCTCCGATTAGTGTGAACATCCTCATGTCTATCGCTATTCCGATTCTCCTACCTCGCACAGCCGCCAATCTAAGCGAGTCGTATAGCCATTCTGGCATCCCTCCTTGTGGAAATTCTAGCCCATGCATGCTGCTCACGTCCGATGGCTCAACAGAGTACTTCGTCCAGTGTGCCTTGAGCGTCATCTGCGACCCTCGCAAAGGATTCCTCATGTCGTCCCGATGCCATCCTTCCACTATCACTCCACTATGCCCTGCCTCTGGCCAAACTATCCCGTCCTTCGCGTATTCTTGCCACTGCGCGTCACCCACCACCATGTATCCGGTGCATGGAAGATCAGCCGGGTGCAGCCTGAACCACAGAGATTCCCGCTCTTCTTTCTGTCCCTCCACTCCGTCTCCAGCCCAACTCTTCAGCATCGCCACGTTCCTCGGCATCCTCATTCCACTCGTGGGTCTCACTGCCAATGGGATGCCCACCTTCAGCTCCTTGGTCTTCGGACATCTATACACTTTGCTGGTGATCTCTATCCCGTAAAACTGTGACAAGTAAGCGATTCTGTACTCGTCGCCTCTCCTGAGCCTATACAAAGATCTCTCGTCAACTTCTTTTCTGATCCTAGACCAGGCTATCCCTCCTCCGTGGTGTTGTTCCGCCCACAGCGCATACTCTATCCCGTTTCCTTTATCGATCGCTGATCCATCTATCATCGCCTCCTGCGTGCTTCTTCTCACATTCCTCCTGTCGCCCCTTTGTACTGGGTACGCATCTCCTCCCCACGCTGCCAATTCCGCCACTATCCTTGCCATCTCAATGTACACATTCGCAGGGTACGGCTTTTCTATCTCGGTCACTTCTCCTTTGATTCCTAGCTCATTCAGCGTAGCACCTGTCCACGTCGTTACCGAGTCATTAGATACTCCCGTCGCCGTAACTAGCTCCTCTGGCTTTCCCTTTTCTATCCCCATTACCATCCTCGTCTCATCTGCGAGCTGCGAGACTATCCTCTCAAGTACCATCTTGTACTTCTCTAGATTCTCCACCCATGTTGTCTGCTCCACTATCGGCAATAGCACCACCTCCTCGTCACTATTCCTCATCATCTCGTTTCCGTCTGCATCGCGATTGCCCGTAGGAATCAACGTCAGCTCCCACCTTCCAT